CAGATGAGTGTGACATTATGATAAAGGCCAGGGGCGTGGACTCTGGAGTACCCCCGGTAACACAGCAGCGTAAAGCGTGTCGTTACCAGGATAAGAATTCGGGGGTAAGGCCAGCACCTGTTAAAAAACGAGGAAGGATAGGTCCATTGGTGCCTACTTCCCACAACACTTCTGTGGCAGCCTCATTAGTTGCAGCGCTCAGTAAAGCGAAAGTGTTGTCCGTACCGGTGAGAGTGGATGATATCAGATTGGCTCTGGATATTGATACGGGTGCATGCGCAAATGTTTTAGCCTTGACATCCTATCAGGAGTTACAACGTAGATTTCCTCACCGTGATTTACTATGGAGACCTACTGACGCTGATCTCGAGGGAGTTTCCGGCACGCAGCTGAGTATTGCAGGAATGGTGACCTTACCGCTAAGATTTTCAAGACGTGGTTCTCCCTTCTATGCAGACTTTTATGTAGTCCAGCAATTTAATTTGACAGCTGAAGGATTGATTGGTCTCCCAACACTGAGAACGAATTGTATAGATGTTCGTCCGCGTAATAATGCTATTACGTTTAAGGGTGTTTCCTACAACGCTATGCGTCATTCTGCACCATTGCTCACTGCAACGTCGAAAGTGTTGTCCACCGTTCCCATTCGGAGGAAGGCGGATAATATGTCAAAGCGAGCCCCAGACCTCACACCCTCACTTTCCCAGCGTGATTATAGCAGCAAGAGTTGGAAGATTGTACCTGCAGTATTGAAAAGTACTCTCCACTATTAGAATGAGGAATTCACCAAGGCCACTGTGGAATTACCTGACGTTTATACGGGGACTGATGTTGTATGTCTCCCGGAAACATGCAAGGTAAAGGGTTTGTGGTGCGAATCGACGTTGAGCACGATACGACCTGGTGGTTTGACAGACGTTCTAGTTTTGAACAGAACAGGCGTTCAGAGGATATTGAAGAAAGGATGTTATTTGTGTGATTTTCTGGTATATCACAACAATGTTGAATTACAGCTTACGCAATTCCCAATTGGTAGCATTGTTTCTCAATCCCAACAGACTAGGCAGGAGAGGATAGATTAAATAGCGCCACATGTTAAGGTGATGGATCATCCTCAGGGCAAGACACGCCTCTTAGAGCTGCTTGCTGACTACAGACATATTGTAGCCTTGCCAAGGGAAAAGCTAGGACAGACAGATTTAACGTTCCATCACATATCATTAAAGGAGGGCACAAATCCTATCTATGTACCAGCTTACCGACTACCACATAGCCAGCGCGCTGTAGTTCAGGATATGGTCCAAGATATGTTGGATGAGAATGTTATTACGCATTCTAAGTCCCCTTTCAATAGCTCTTTATTCCTAGTCCCAAAGAAGGATGGTGGTTGGCGCCCAGTTATCGATTTTAGGCGCGTTAATGAATGTACGATCCCGGATAGGTACCCTATGCCTGTCTTGAGTGATATATTGCAGTCCTTAGGCAAGGATAATGCTGTATTTAGCAACTTAAATTTGCTTAGTGGGTATTGGCAAATACCATTCGATGAGAAATCCCGAGAGGTTACAGCGTTTAGCACACCCCTGGGCCACTTCAAATTTCTACGGATGCCTTTTGGCCTCAGGAATGCCCCACTGACATTTCAAAGAACGATCAACACCCTGTTTGCCGGATTGATAGGTTTCACAGTCTGCGCTTATTTGGATGATCTAACAGTAGTCAGTAAGGATGTTGATACCCATCTGATTAAACTGCGTGAAGTGTTAGAAAAACTTTCCACAGCAGGTCTTAAGATTAAACTTTCGAAATGTGAGTTTTTAAAATCCAGAATCCATTTCCTTGGTCATGTAGTTGACGGTGACGGCATTCATACAGTTGATGATAAAGTTGAAGCTGTATCTCAGTTTCCACGTCCTGCATCGGTTGATCAAGTGCGTAGTGTTCTTGGTTTATCTGGATATTATCGTTCTTTTATTAAGAACTATGCAACATTGGCATCACCCCTAACAAGGTTGCTCAAGAAAGATGCAATGTTTGTGTGGGATGCTGAACACGAAAATAGTTTTGCGGCATTGAATATAGCGCTTACCAATGCCCCTGTTCTGGTATTCCCTGACTACACTCAAGCTTTCACTCTGTGTACTGACGTTTCTGGACAAGGAATCGGAGCTGTACTCATGCAAGTGGATTCGAGAAACACGTTATTCAGTAACGCATTTGGAGACGTTAGCTGTTGTGTGGGCACTGAAGAAGTTTAAGGACATTATCTTTAGTTATAAGATAACTGTGTTTACGGATCATGCCGCAGTGACTGAACTGTTCCATGGCAGAAACTTATCAGGCAAATTGGCACGCTGGTATCTGACAATTCAGGAATTTGACCCCTAGTTTAGGCTATTTACCGGGAAGGGCGAATGTTGTCGCCGACGCTTTGTCTAGAAATATTGCACCAGTGATGCCTGTGTCAACGTTCACTCTTTCATAACTGGAGGATGAGCAACAACGCGACCCGTTATGGGCAGCATTCATTTTTGCGTTAGAATCGGGAGAGGATATTAAACTCCCCAAATTAATTCTTCCCTTAAGTCAGTTTGAATTACGACATAACATACTCCATTTATCGAAAAAGACGCCCGAGGGGCGTTTATTCTAAATAACAATAATTTGAATGAGCAGCTAAAAAGAATAACTCACACCCTGGTCACCAGTAACTCTGTCTATGAGTGCCGTCACGTCACGGTGATTGCCCGTGCCAACTATGTGGTCGTAGTAGCATTATACCAATTCCAGCTATGAGGCTATATATATCTCAACAGTCCATATACATGCGGACTTCCATATACAAACAATACCTCGCTAGTAAGGAATCGAAACCTGGACCTCTGCTACTACGACCGCATAATTGGCACGAGCAATCCCAGATGGAAGTTCACGTTGCTTAAAAATAAGACGAATAAACAGGCTTTGTATGAAATAAAATAAAACCTAGGATTACATTTGTGTCCTTGTGGCGCGGTGGTAGCGATCCTTCTTCACGCACAAAGGTCAAGGGTTCGATTCCCGACTAGTGAGGCATTGTTGAGCGATGGCCAGGTTTCTAAGGCCCTCTTCGCGGAGAGCGATGATGCAACCGCGTTGACTTAGGAGGTTGTCTTGATGGTTCATAACGATGGGTATTGGAGGTTAGCGGTGATTGGCTGTTTCTTTATTCTGTGATTGGTTCACGCTGATGTGAGATGCCTCTGTTCCATAGCAAACCAGATAATAGAAAATCAAACAAATATGATTTTAATTTCATAAGTTCGTGACCGTTGCATGAAATACTGGGTATCACTTGTATTTGTGTTCTCATCATAAATGCCTCATAGAAATGAGAGGATACATTATTCTACTCTGTAAATTGTTTGTAGTGATTCGATTGCCAGAGAAGGAATTGGGTGGTGGAGGCAGGGAGGGTATAGGGGAGTGGGTGGGTAGTCGAAGGTTCAGTCGAAGGTTCCTCCAGCACCTTCGCCCAGGGCTGCCGTCGCGTCCAGTGCATAACATAGAACTTTATTATTTAAAATCTTTAAACAACAGCTTTGCATTACAAATTGTAACTTTGATAATAATAAGATTAATAATAATAATAATATTAATAATAATAATAATAATAATAATATGATAATAATTATAATAATAATAATAATAATAATAATAATAAAAATAATAATAATAATAATAATAATAATAATAATAATAATAATAATATTTTTTATCCATTTCACCCAACTGTTTGACACAATTAAACCATGTGGTTTGCTGATTCTATACCGGACAGCGGCCAACTGAACTACTTTTGTTCACATCAAGTTTGTATTTCAATAAATATGTGGTGCCAACTTCCTGATTGTTTTGATTGATAATTATTAATCCCTTCAGTACGACGTCTTCTTATCTATTTTATTCTGGCTACCGCCAGACGATTTTATTTAGCTGGGGAAGTTCCATCTCGTAGTCAAGGGTTTAAACAAAGCTTCACTGCTTCTACTATATATAGATTCAAACATATCCATAATTCATATGCTCACAAATGTCCGCTTTTGCATAAATTCATCCCCCCTATCAACCTACTGTAGATTTAGTATTTTTAATTGGCTAGTGTCAAATGATTACACTCACTTTAGGAAACCCCGTCGGTATTATCAAAGCGATATTCTGCGATGTAATCTCTCCCAACTGATATACTGTACATTTTCCGTCCTCATCCCCAGTATTCCCCTCCCCTCAGAAAGACACCTACCCTACATACCCCACCTTTCTCCCTCCTGCTCACTCGCTCACTAGCGAATGCCTCGTATTCACACTTCAGAGTCTCGGGGCTCGTACCTCAGGAGAGAGAAAATTGGCACCGCAAAGTGGTAAAGTCAGGAGTGGAGCCAACTGTACTTCCTCATATTCGTCCAGCATGTCACCTTGGCGAGTTTGAAGCTGTGTTGTTCTCTTGTGTTGGGGCATGTGTCATCCCGAAAAAATCCCTTTCAAGATTTAGAATATTTCTATGAGATCCTCCCTATGCATCTCGTCTGAAGAATTATTAGTCTTAACGCCTTCATTCGACTAGGGTAATCGAGGCGATTCACTTCAGGAATAATCTAGTTGCTTTGCGATGCACCCTCTCTAGGGATACAGTATTATATCTTTCCGAGGGTACGTTCTCCATAGCTGAATACAATAATCCAGGCTTAGAAAGGTGAAACATCATTTGTTTATCTTTTTATTCGAAATTACGACTTATAATTCCAAAAGTTTATTTGGTTTTATCATTGTTGTCCCTCCCCCCCATTTTTGGTAGTGCTGCTTTCAGTGATTGGTCTATCTCGACGACTAGAACTATTTCCTTACCGACCTGCGCGTGTAGTAGTGAACTCGTTCATTGAGCAAAACGCACCCACGAGAACAAGGAGCGCTTAAAATTGGACCTTAACAACTATTATTAACAAACATGGAAATACACAAACCTGGTTCACCGGGTTGTCCAATTTTACCATCTCTTCCCTCACCCATGACTCCTCTATCACCCTTGTAGCCCGGCGGTCCTCGTTCACCTGCTGGGCCAGGTGGACCAGCAGCACCTGGGTAGCCGGTGTAGCCGCGTTGTCCCGTCTCACCATTAGGTCCAGGAGCACCTGAAACATACAACTATTAATTAGAGCCAACTCATCAAAAGTGTTCATACCAAAAATCAAACTATTATTTTTCTTCTAAATTTTCAGTGTAAAAATGGAAATATTTTAGTCATATATCTTAGAAATATTTTTACGAGAGTTTTACAAACAACTGTCAGTAATTGTAAGTAAGGAAACATGTATGCAGTAAGCATCTCAACAAATGAAACTTTCAAAATGCAAAATTTATGTATAATACAAATTTTCTGATACACTTAGCTGGCAGGGACCGAGAAGCAGGGCCAATAAATTAGTAAATTATGTTATCCTTTATGGCGTGAAGCTATTAACATGGGTAGTAGTTTAATATACAATACGCTGCATGCTTATTAAATGTGGTGGTATAATATACGACACGCTTAATACTTATTATTTTTTTTCTTATAATTTTCGCCACTTATCAGCTTACTAACCGTTCGGCCGCTTTGTCTATCCGGTGATTAGTGCAGGAGGAAACCGGAGACCAAGAAATCATTTACGTCTGGTAGGGGGTCACACTAGATAACACCCTTCTCACGTGTGTCCGGGCCGAGGATCGAAACTTTGACGTGCCGAGGATCGAACCTTTGACGTATTAGTGAGAGATATGCACGTTATCGCTATATAACCAACACTTATGCTGCGCACTTATTATGTGTAGTGGTGTAACATACAACAATCTGCATATTTTTTATTTGATCCAATTTAATTTACTACGCTTCTCTCCTTACTGTGTCAGCTTGTGTGAGGCAAATGTACATTATATCCTGCAATACACGTGAACAATAACACCAGACACAGTGCTTCCTGCTACACACGTAAAAAATAACACCAGACACAGTGCTTCCTGCTGTAATTAGGAAAGAACTTATTGATGAGTTTGACGCAAGCAGACTAGTGCAAACAGGCACTAGTCGATCCATAGGTTACCATGATGAGATGTATCAAGTGAAACATGTATATGGAGCAAGTAACAAGATCACTAGATTACAAGATGTTGTAACCGCTAGATTAAGGTTAGGATATAAGTACCTTTGGCAGTATGTTCTTCAAGCAGAAGTAAACAAAACTAAATGTAAAGTGTGTGGCCATACTGTGTGAAGATAGAACCTTTTAGGGACAGGTCCAAGCACACTGTGTGTGAAATGGCACAACACTTCATCACTAATGGCAAGATAGCCGACATATTAAGATTGTATCCACTTTTTTGCACTTAATAACTATATCAATTCTCATGTACAGAACCAAATACACAATGTGCTTGAATACCTCCCACGTAAATGTGAATAACAAAGTGTGAGGCCAGACATACTGCCTCACACGCCTGTTCTCACGCATTTGTGAATAAGTTACCCTTTATGTATAGAACTAAACAAATAATGTAAATGAAATACTGTGTAACATTCAGTGCCATAATATCCTGACAACGGGGGTTAATTATTATGACCCTTTGTAAACTCTACTCTGTAATCCTTTTGCGCTACCGCTCACAGGATGAGTGTGGGGTGCACAATAAAGTAGCCGCTGCAAGCGGCAAAATCAAAATCAATCCTGCTACACACGTGAACAATAACACCAGACACAGTGTTTCCTGCTACACACGTGAACAATAACACCAGACACAGTGTTTCCTGCTACACACGTGAACAATAACACCAGACACAGTGTTTCCTGCTACACACGTGAACAATAACACCAGACACAGTGCTTTCCTGCTACACACGTGAACAATAACACCAGACACAGTGTTTGCCACACACGTGAACACAACACTAACACACTACACACATGTGTTTCCTGCTACACAAACAACACCAGACACAGTGCTGTACACACGTGAACAATACCACACGTGACACAACGTAACACCAGACACAGTGCTTCTGCTACACACGTGAACAAACACCAGACACAGTGCTTTCCTGCTACACACGTGAACAATAACACCAGACAGTGCTTCTTGCTACACGTGAACACACAGACACAGTGCTTCCTGCTACACACGTGAACAATAACACCAGACACAGTGCTTCCTGCTACATATGTGAACAATAACACAAGACACAGTGCTTCCTGCTACACACGTGAACAATAACACCAGACACAGTGCTTCTTGCTACACACGTGAACAATAACACCAGACACAGTGTTTCCTGCTACACACGTGAACAATAACACCAGACACAGTGCTTCTTGCTACACACATGAACAATAACACCAGACACAGTGTTTCCTGCTACGCACGTGAACAATAACACCAGACACAGTGCTTCTTGCTACACACGTGAACAATAACACCAGACACAGTGTTTCCTGCTACACACGTGAACAATAACACCAGACACAGTGCTTCTTGCTACACACATGAACAATAACACCAGACACAGTGCTTCCTGCACGCACGTGAACACTAACACCAGACACAGTGCTTTTGCTACCAACTAACACCAGACACAGTGCTTCCTGCTACACAGAACACTAACACCAGACACAGGCTTCCTTCACGTGAACACAACACCAGACACAGTGCTTCATACACGTGAACACTAACACCAGACACAGTGCTTCCTGCTACACAACATAACACACCAGACACAGTGCTTCTTGCTACACATGAACAATAACACCAGACACAGTGCTTCCTGCTGCACATATGTGAACAATAACACTGACAGACCCACACACGTCTCTTTACGTGAAACACCAGACACAGTGCTTCTTGCTACACATGTGAACACTAACACCAGACACAGTGTGACACATGTGACACTAACACCAGACACAGTGCTACACTACTGCAATACACATGTGTGAACAATAACACCAGACACAGTGCTTGCTACACGAACAATAACACCAGACACAGTGTTTGCTACACATGTGAACACTAACACCAGACACAGTGCTTCCTGCTACACACATGAACAATAACACCAGACAGTGCTTTGACACATGTGAACAACACACAGACACAGTGCTTCCTGCTACACACGTGAACAATAACACCAGACACAGTGCTTCCTGCTACACACGTGAACAATAACACCAGACACAGTGCTTCCTGCTACACATGTGAGCAATAGCACCAGACACAGTGCTTCCTGCTACACACGTGAACAATAACACCAGACACAGTGCTTCCTGCTACACACGTGAACAATAACACCAGACACAGTGCTTCCTGCTACACACGTGAACAATAACACCAGACACAGTGCTTCCTGCTACACATGTGAGCAATAGCACCAGACACAGTGCTTCTTGCTACACACGTGAACAATAACACCAGACACAGTGTTTCCTGCTACATATGTGAACAATATCACCAGACACAGCGCTTCCTGCTACAAACGTGAACAACAACACCAGACACAGTGCTTCCTGTTACACACGTGAACAATAACACCGGACGCAGTGCTTCCTGCTACACATGTGAAAAAAACCAGACCCGGTGCTTCCTGCTACACACGTGAACAATAACACCAGACACAGTGCTTCCTGTTACACACGTGAACAATAACACCAGACAGTGCTTCTTGCTACGCACGTGAACAATAACACCAGACACGTTGCTTCCTGCTACATACGTGAACAATAACACCAGACAAAGTGCTTCCTGCTTCAAATGTGAACAAAAACACCAGACACAGTGTTTACTGCTACACATGTGAACAATAACACCAGTCACAGTGCTTCCTGCTGCACATGTGAACAATAACATCAGACACAATGCTCCCTGCTACACATGTGAACAAAAAAAAAACAGACACGGTGCTTCCTGCTACACAAAGGAGTGTTAGTTACAAGACTAGCGAGGTCATCCTAAAACTGTATCTTGCTCTTGTGAGACCACACCTGGATTACGCAGTTCAGTTCTGGTCACCGTATTACAGAATGGATATAGAATCCTTGGAAAGAATTCTGAGGAGAATGACAAGACTAATCCCGGGCATTAGGAACCTTGAGTATAGAGGCAGGTTAAAGCATCTTAATTTGCACTCCCTCGAGAGACGTAGAGCGAGGGGCGACCTGATAGAGGTGTATAAGTGGAAGGCAGGGCTAAACAAAGGGGACATTACAAAGGTACTCAAACTATCCAACCAGGAGCGAACTCGTAACAATGGTTTTAAATTAGACAAATTTAGATTTAGGCGCGAAATAGGTAAGCACTGGTTTGGAAACAGAGTAGTGGATGAATGGAACAAGTTACCAAATATCATCATTAACTCGAATACACTGGATAGCTTCAAACATAGGTTGGATGCTTATATGAGCAATAGGGCTTGGGTGTAAACGGGACAGCCCAGTATGGGCCAATAGGCCCGCTGCAGTTTCCACCATTCTTATGTTCTTATATTCTTACATGTGAACAATAACACCAGACACACGCGTGAACAATAACACCAAACACACGCATGAACAATAACAGTAGACATACGCGTGAACAAAAACACTAGACACACGCATGAACAATAACACTAGACACACGCATGAACAATAACACTAGAGACACGAGAACAATAACACTAGACACTCACGTGACAAATAATACTAGACATACACATGAACAGAATCAGGTGTTCATGTACACACATAGCACAGCACTGAGTGATATAAAGATGATGCTAAGATATTTGGAAGACGATGGATATTGCATGTCTTAATTGTATGACATAAAACCGATTAAAATTCACTTCGAGAGTAAAATATTTAACTCTTTAGAAGACAGGGATTCCCTTCAGCTGAATAAAATTGTCTGGCATTACCAAGAATAAAATACCTAAGGGATACTTTGCGATCTAAAGGGTTAAAAATATTCACTGATTCTATCCACCATCTTAATTTTCGATATTAAGTGTAGTCGTTAAAAACAAATCTCATTTAGTTGTTTAATTCTTGGTAAAGATTTTTATCCTGCTCAGCATATAAACAACAACAGTCTAGCCATTCATGCAACTGTCGTTCAGTGTATTTTGGAACAG